AATCAGTAATCGTAACATCACTAACTACAACATTTTCAGATGAACAATCAGCAGATACCACTTTAGATTTGACTAAGGTTCCTGATGCACCCAATTTAGCATCATATAGAGGTGGTGGCTGAATGTTTCTATGAGTATCAGCTAGTTCGCTTTTGACTTTAGCATGTACCTCTGAACAACTAGAGACTGTATTAAGGCTTGAATCCGGAGCATTTTCATTAACCTCAGTTTTGGCTGAGCAGTTGCCAAGTCTGCAGGATGTGGGCTTGACATCTGCAAGTCCATCACAACCTTAGTTGTTAACTCCCCTCCAAATTCATTTGGACTGACAGCAGTATGAATGGAAACCTAACGTAACCATTAAAAAAAAAAGGTCAGTCAAGGCACGCAAGGTGCCGCATCGTGCAACATGAAGAAGGAAACAACTGTGCTAAAGACTTTCTGGAGATTGTTATTGGTTGAAAGCACAAACTTTGATAGATGCATTGCTGCAACACTCAGTAACCGACGGCATTTAAAAGCGAGCCCAGAGTGGTGTTGGCTAGAAATTGCAATTATAACTAAGCTAGACTGAAAAACTAACTCCATAGGTTACATCTAATTGTTGATAACAGCAATTCTCAGATAAATACTCTCAATCACTGGTTAACTTGCTACCTCTACGAACATCACAAGCACCCCAACGGTTTAGTCAGAAGACCATGTTACAAATTCATGCATTATAGGCAGCAGAACTAAGAGCTGCTTACTTATCCTACCATGCAAAGGGCAAAAAAATTATTGGAATCAGAGTAATAGAACACATTAAGAAGTACCTCTTGTTTTACAGGGACTCCCCCAGAATCGTTGTTTCCTGAAAGTGAGGCTGCACTACCCATAGTTTTTGAAGAACCCTCCAACTTCACAGTAAGTTGCTGTCCACCATTTGCATCCTTGGCATTGGTATACTTGAGGAACTATGTCGAGGTGCATCAAAAGATAATTTTGCTGAACCACTCCCACTTGAACCCAAATTAGATTTGCGAGCATCAACAACATAGTCTACTATCCCGAATTCATGTGATAATTGGAGGCCAGGGGGCGAGTGACATGAGTTTCCACTATTACCACTTTGAGGATCTGCTTGGATGTTCTTAGGGCCTCTTTCTTCAGATATTTGTGATTGTTTTGCATCACTTGCGTTTGTCGAAGCTATCAGTATAGATAAAACAAAGCTCAAGGGTCAAGAAACACAAGCCACATTTAAAAAAAAAAAAAAAAAAAAAAAAAAAAAAAACTGCATGTCACAGTGTCTATAGGATGGAGATTCAAATTCAAAAAAAAAAAAAAATAGCATCATTAAATAACAATCTCAAAATCAAAATTTATGCTGAGAGAAAAAAAAATGAAGCAATAAATGCATCTGAAAACCTTGAAAGTGGTAATTACCAATACCTGTTCCAGGAGTGTGTAAACATTTCTTCTTAAAGTCTCCATCTTTTTCCATAATCGAGCCTTCTTCTTCCCGCTTTTATCCTTTGGATTAGTGACATCGTCCTTCTTGCGCTTGGAAAAGTGTATCACAGGAGCCTGTAGCAAGCTTCTATCCTTCTTAGGCTCCTTCTCTGGTGTGGAAACATCCAAGTTTATATGACCCTCCAACTTAGTGATTTGTTTAGGGGACATCACCAGCTTATCAGCCTCACCATCTTCAGCCTGGCCGTCCAGACCAACTGACTCAACCTTTGGAACAGGCAAAAGGTGCTCTCTCGACAAGAAGAACAAATCAGCCATGCCGTTATCAGCAATAATACGAGGCTCTCCTCCATCATCAATGTTAGCGTTAACGTCTTTCTCCACATCCTCCTCCTCCTCCTCCTCATCCCAAGACGGAAACTCTCTGTACCTAAAATTGAACTTCTTGGGAACATAACCAGTACATTTCCACAAATGGGGCCCAAAGACAGAGGACAAGCCAGAAAACAGAGTAGGATCCCCACCGGGGATCCCTTGGACATGAACCCTGTCTTGCATAGGAATGTCAGTCCAGAGCCTAGAGGGCCTGCGGGGAGGGGGAAAGGGGAAGGCTTATAGGAGGAGGGGAGAGGGGGCGGACAATGATTATCCATCCTCAAAGTCTTAGTGGGCAACTCAACAAGGAGTTGGGCGACCTCAGTCTCCTCGCTATCATTCCTAAAACTATTATTGTAGTAATCATTAGCAGTACTACTAGCATGGTGGTGGGGGTGATTGTTCTTGCTCTTCTTACACTTGTCACAGACAAATGATTTTTCAGTCTTGACGTAGCGGAGCAGCGGGTGTGTACCCAGACTCCGCACTCGTCGCATTTAACCATCTCTTCCCCATCATCAAAATTGACGCCGCAGACGCAGTCCACCGTCCACGACTCCTCCTCCTCCACCCACTCATGTCGTGGATCGACCGGTAGCCTATGTGATCGCTCTTCATTGCAACCTTAGCAGTAATTGATTCTAAAATCCCTAAAATTACAATAAAAAGAGATATCCCTCGATTAATTTCCCCAAACTACTCTAATACTAGATGTTATCTCTCTTTTGTTTTGTATATATACATAAAAGAAATTAGCCTAAGCTCCTTGAATTTCCCTAAACTTCTTCAAGTGGCATCGGGATTTCTTGTAAGAACCACTGGATAAAAGCTTCATGTTACGAAAATGAAAAATTGCTGACAGTACTAGTAAGTACCCAGTAGTATAAAAAGAAGAAAAGACTTTTTGTACCTGGGAATTGGGATGCCGCTGCTCCAAACTCTTGTTTGAGCAGAAGATTAGAGGTGCTTCGGAGGACACCGCTGAATTTAACCATCCATCCATCCATCCATCATCTCTCCCAAAAAAAAAAAAAAAAATGGTATCAAAATGTGGTTGAATGGGAATTGAATAGAGGCGAATCCTTCTATTATTATTATTAGTTAGAGAAAGAAAAAAGAAGGGAAGGGAGCAGCAGTTCAATTACATAATCAACCAACCCCATTTTCTGACCCCCCCGCCAAAAAAAAAAAGAAAAAACCCAATCCCAGTCGCAAGACTCGCAACCCAAACTGGCCGGCCGGGTTATTATTATTTATCTATCATTATGATTTATTTATGAGTAAATTATATATTTTTTTATTATTAAATACATTATATATAATTTAAATTTTAAAGTTTACATATATATATATATATATATCATATATTTAATCAATGGTAATAGTATATAGGGCAAATTATCCAATTGGCCCTTTAACTCTTTGTCTAGGTAAGATTAACCCCCTCATCTATTTTTTGCTAACTTTAAACCCTCGAATTTGTAAAATGAGGAACCCGTGGCCCTTTTAGCCAATTTCTCCGGTTTTGCAAATGGAGGACCAATTCACACGAACGCCAGTGTGCTTCTTTCAATGGCAGTTTTGTTCTCATATTCTAAGCAAAAAGGGCACACATAGTCCACCTTTCTATTTGATTTCCCTCACCTCCCTTACTCTTCCCTACGCAACCCCCACGCAATCCCATGGCCGTTTCTGTCGCCACCGCAGCAGCCGCAGCCGCCGCGGCCTCCCAGAAGCTCTCTCCGCTTACAACCCCTCCTCATGACAAGCCCTTCTGCTCTTCCTTCTCAAAAACCCTCCTAAAACCCTGCCACCCCGTCACCCACATCCGCAAAGTCCACTGGACCGGTGTCTCGGCCGCTTCCAAGAATCATATCTCAGACGTCGTCTCGATGACTCCGACGATTATGACGACAAACCCAGAGAGGAGTGAGGCGTGTGGGCATCTATGGTGACCCCGAAGCTTCTCGCCTATGCTATTTAGCCTTCCACGAGGTCCAGCACCGCGGCCAAGAAGGCGCCGACATCGTCTCCGTCCATGACAACATCTTCAAATCGATTACTGGAGCTGGTTTGGTTTCTGATGTCTTTAACGAGTCCAAGCTTGCATCTTTGAGGATATTGGTTTGGTTTCTGATGTCTTTAATGCCTGGTGAGGTATTGGTTGTGGATAAAGACGGGGTTGGACCCCTTTGTCTGATGTCTCATCTGGAGCCTAAGTCTTGCATCTTTGAGAATATTTATTTTTCTTTACCCAATTCAGTAGTTTTGAGAAGTCCGTTTATGAGTCTAGGCGGGCATTTGGGAAAATTTTGGCCACTGTATTCCCCGTTGATTTCTAAGCCAGTGGAGGGAATGTGGACTATGTGTGCCCTTTTTGCTTAGAATATGAGAACAAAAATGTCCTTGAAAGAAGCACACTGGCATTCGTGTAAATTGGTCATCCGGTTGCAAAACCGGAGAAACTGGATAAAAGGGCCACGGATTTCCTATTTTACAAGTTCAAGGGCTTAAAGTCAGCAAAAAATAGATGAGGAACTTAATTTTACCTAGACAAAGAGTTAAAGGGCCAATTGAATAATTTGCCCTAGTATACATTGTCAGAGGATTAATTCTTTATTTATTAGTGTAAAAGAATTAGATAGATTTGGACTCCTCGACTTTTTTCATTTTCTTTTTAACAAAAAAAAAACAAAAAACAAATTTGACCGGACCGGCCTAATCCAGGACCTTTCCGCCTACTAGAGGAGGCCCAATCTCAATACAGGCTGGATGCAAGATCAACCCCACTACCAAGTCCCATCTCCCAAACCCTTATACTAAATAATAATAAGAATTTTTCAAGAAGATTATTGCTTTAGGATTCCGCTCATTGATTTTTCTCCTTTTTTTAGGTATTTACTACGACGTACTAGGCATTTGGGCCAAGACAGCTAGGTTGTCGCTTTAAGTGGATCAAATTCAATGCATGGTTGTCGCTTTAATCTTTCGACTCAAGAGGCTGGGCTGATTTGCTATGGATGCGCAGGTGAATGGGATCAACCGCAGCTCGGACGTGTGGGCTTGCGAGTTGCGAGTCATTGAAGACCAATCTTACACGACATATTATTATTGTTTTTCTGTAAATCTCTTCCGAGGCGGAGAATAAAAATAAAATATTTTTACTAAGCTGATTTTTTTTGCTTAAATGAAACATAAATATGAATCCTGTATGTTGCCAGCTCCGAAAAAGATGTAATTAACATAGTACAGCAATATGTGTAATCCTGTGAAGATGACCAAGGGTAAGCTTAGTTGAGTTGAGGTGATGATAGATGAAGAAGGCATCGCAAGGATTTTCCTCGAACCAGCAGCTGGAAAGCTTCATTGATCTTTTCGAAAGGTAGTTGATGAGTAATGAACTCATCCAACCTGGCCACCTGATTGGTTGATTTTGTCATTAGCAATAATTACAGCTATTAATATTAATTATTATGGTGGCTGCTGTATATATAGCTTCAACTTGGTATATGATATAATAAGTAATGATCACTAATCAATCTTAATATATACGAGTAGCAGTAACACCACACGTAAATAGATCGAGAGGTGAAAGGCTGCTCAGTGCTCACTCACCCCGCGCATGCAGTCTTGAGCAAGACGGGGCAATTGAGACTTGCCCTTGAAATCACCAAAAACTGAGCCTACGATCCTTCGCCCATCAAACAGCTCCATGGGATGGAGAGGCAGCAGCATTGGCGGGCGTCGCGTGCACGCCCCAGAACAACTGTCAACCCCAACCCTGCATTAATCCATATATATGGCGGGAGATTGAATGATTAGCGCACAAGGCAGTTTCTTTGTAAAGCTGAAGGCCTCAATGAAATGAAATGGAAAGTAGAAATAGAGATGGAGAGAAGCAAAGCATTAGGACGGCTTACGTACGTCGTGGGTAGATAGGAAAGCCTCCCTGACAACATCCAAGTTACCCGCACATTCAAAACTGTACTCCACCCCTCCTCCCGTCATTTCTCTAATTACCTTCAATCATTCAAACACTTGTTTTCGTCTATGTCCAAGTTAAACGCTGCTACTAGCTAGTATATGTCGATCCTACATTATGTATACATGCATTACCTCATGCACGGGCTTTTCCAGTTCCTTGGGATTTACGAAATGGGTAACTCCCATCGTTTGACCTTCATTAAACATGCGGGGGGACCAAGAGTACACGACAAGTAGTTAATTAGCTAGGCATTTCCAAAAAAAAAAAAAACAATAAAAACGATTTTGGAACCGAGTAGTAGTAAGTATACTACTAGCATCTCTCTTTTTTTTTTCTTTTTAATAGATATACTTCCTATTTTTAGTGCGACATAAGTTTGCAATTTGAAAAAATTTTCTGGTTTAGTGTAATTGTGATGGTACCTTTCGTTAGTTTGTCGGGGTTAACATCGACCCCTATGATTTTGGATGCTCCTCGTGATCGCGCTCCTTCCACAACCTGCACGCACATGCATAACCGTACGTAGTACGTAGTGCATTTCCCACTTCATCTTCATGTAATTAATAAATAAACATCATCCCTTGTGTTGCGAGGACACGGCTGAATTAATATCGATACTTACCGCCAATCCAACTGCACCAAACCAAAAACCGCCACAGTTGAGCCAGGCTGCACTTTGGCAGTATTACATACAGCTCCCACACCTTGAATCGCAGTTGGCAGTATTAGCAGGAAATGGAAATGATGAAGTTTTGAAATTAAAGATGACACATATGGTTACGCGCGCACCGGTAGCTATGCAGCAGCTGAGCAGGCCATTTGGCGAAGGGGCGCCGTGGGGTCAATCTTGACGACACAGGCAGAATCAAGGACGGTGTACTCGCTGAAAGTGGATGTGTTGAGGAAATGGAAAATGGGTTTCCCGCCTTCTTTACTCCTAAACCTACACTTGCCATCGTTCACATTACGCTTTTTCAATGGATTTACCCGATATTTTTCGCACAGATTTGTTTTGTCGGATTTGCAGTAATCGCAGCTCCCGCACTCCCCGTTGAATATGGGAACCGCGTGATCTCCGGCTTTCAGCTCCGTCACTCCTTCTCCCACGCTCTCTACCACTCTTGGAATGGCAGCAGGCAGGGCAGCATTAATTCATTTCGTTGCACCCAACCCAAAATCAAAAATAATTAATTGCTAATCAAATCCAATACTCACTGCTCTATATAATTAACAGTTTGAGAGAGAGAGAGAGTTAGTATTTGAACGCGCGCGAACAACGAGAAAAATCGTGTAGCTGTGTGTATCAGCAATATATTGGGGGACGGGGACCTTATAATTATATCAGCAATATTTACAGTAGCAGGAAGAAGGACAAAAGGAGCAAAGTAATTTAACAGGGGAAATTTTGACCTTACCCTGAAGCTTCATGTCCCAGAATTCGAGGATACGCTCTCTGAGCTTCATTCTTTTTTTCATTCCCAGGATTGACGATGGAAACGCACGCGTCAGATCAGATGGCACCCAGTGCACAAGAGTCAATTCAATTTACCATTTAAGCAAATCACAAATCTATCTGTGAATCAATTCACTGAAGCGAAGTTGTCGTTATAAGATGGTTTGTCTCATACCGTGCCTAGCCAAGCGCCAAGATCGGTGTGGCAAATTGAAGTGTAGAGGATCCGGATACGGACCTCCATTTTCTTTGGGGATCCACTAAAACATCTTGTATCACCAAAGGTTGCCCCGGACCGTAGACCACCGCAGCTTCAAAACAAAAAAACCACATCAATATTACTACCCGTATTGCTCGCTTCCAGCTTAGTTCATAAATATCTCGAGGTACATAAATATCCCCACGGATTGAGGAGGGGATTCTGATGGGGGAAAAATACAAAGGGAACAAAAGTCATTAAACACGCGATAAAACTTACCTTTGCAAGTTATGGTATTTGCTGCGGAATGCGTGTCACCTAAAAGGAGATGAGGATTAGCGCCATTTAGCGGTGTTAATCACAATCCAATTATATTGATCTGTCCAAATCCATCCACTAATAACCCGCCCACTAATAAACTGCCCATTAACTTTGAATCGTTCTAAATGGGTATCCATTTAATTGATGGATAGCGAGTTGATTCGACCACACCCATTTATACAAATTTTTAAATAATCATATATTAAAACTTGATTTTTAGTGGGGTTGGGCAGATAATTTTGAATTTCTTACAAATCTAAGTGAAAAAAAATGCCATTATTTCTTGTTAAACAACATGCAAAAAATTTTTTTTTTTTAAAAAGTAGAATTTAAAGTGAGTCTTAAATGGATAATTGGATATATTCATATCCTATGTGTCTCCATTTATGCCCATTTATTTAAACGGGTATAATTAAGTTATGATCCGTTCAAATCCACCCGGGTCATCCGTTTTGACACGTTTAGTGCCCCTACAATTAGAGAAGGTAGTGTTTGGCATGTAATTCTGCAGAGGAGTATCCAAGTCAACATTACTAATTAACGTTCTAATCGGGGGCCGCTTGCTTGGGCTAAAGAAGAGCACGACAGGAATGAATAGAAATCAAATTGTTTGTTAGAGGGGTTTAATCGACATAATACTACGATTGAAAGTTCAAATCACCTTGGTCCTAAGGGCTCAATTGATTCTTTGCATACTAAGGGAATTTAAACTAAACTAACCAATACTGAGAAATGGAGAACCTTTTCCGGGTAGCTTAATCGATGGAGGCCTGTTGTTTTTCCCCGCTTTCCCCTTCTCTCCCTTTTCTGGATGAGAAATCTGTTAATCTACATTCATTTACTTTCGTGGAATGTATGTGTTCTAGATGCAAGTATAGCAGTAACACTAATTTTTATAGTAGAAAATTGTTACACTAAATAAATCCAAGTGAGCTTAAAGCAGATAACAATTTCTTATCCATAGGGTTAGTGGAAAGCACGATAGAATTGAACCTTCCTCCATCGATGGATGATGAGAACTTGAACACTTCCGGATACAGCTTTTTGGAAACTCTTCCTTCTCGCTTGTTCCCACTTCAACCTTCCTCTCTCTCTTGCAGATGATTCACGGTGGTTGTTATCTAAGAAAAAGAACACAGCCCACCTACATGTAGCGAACAATAAAGGATTTGATTCTCGTCATCGTTTGCTTAGTAAGATTTACACAAGAATACGTGTAAAGTTGCGTGTCATTTACCATAACCAGATAAGGTTTCCTACTATTCCGATTAATTATTGATTATTTGCCAATTATTTTCTAAGGTACATTAAGGTGTGCTAAAATCCCGCTTAATGACATATATACTTGTCTTTTACTCTCTCAAATACAGTTTTCCTATTTAGAAGACGGATCTGTGTGCCCATTGGACACTCTCATTAACCTGCAATTCAAGTGTAATATATATTTTTTTTAAAAAAAAAAACGAGTAAAATTACTTAGAAAATTATGTAAATATAAAAAAGGATAATAATAATTATTAATATGTGTATTCACATGATTGATAAGTAGAGTGTGATTTATGTGTACTAAAGAGTAAAAAAACCCTTAAAGCACGTGATGTGGTTCGAATAAAGAGTTTGTCCAATAGAATCTTTTAAATGAAAATAAAACTAAATCGAAAAGTGGCGAGCAATAAATTTGAGTGAATTGAGTTAAATAGGAGATTATGTCCACTAATCAGTAATCTGATGGAGCACCTATTAAGATTGGTCATCAAATAAAACATAATTGCACAATAAAAAGAAATCCTAACAACAAGTCCGCTCCATGTTTAGAGCAACGTTAATCTGATCAGGCCAATAAAGAATTACAAGATTCATGATTTGAACAAATATGAATGATCACTAGCTCAATTTTTGACTACATATAAAGTATGGGCTTTTTCTAATGGCTGCCTAATTAGTACTTGTTAAAACACCTAAATCAGATGGAATTTAATAATTTATTACCTTTCTGTGCATTTATATGTTTTTTTTTATTTAACTTTACATTTTAAATATATTAACACTTAAATTATATTTTAATAAATATTCAAGTCGGCACTCGCTAGATAGACCCATGAAACGTATAAGAATACGTCGATTTAATTTAACTGCTTGTTGATAATACAATAAGCATTTGGCTTCTTGTTGAAAATCTAAACTTTTGCATTTTTGTAGTTACATATTTGATATTTTACTAGTTTTTGGCTGCCACGCCTTCGCGCGGCAATGCCCAGTTTTAAGTTTAACATACATAATTTTCGGTTTCTATATATAATGCAATATGCATACTTTTCTAATATGAAAATTCATGTACAAATGGTGCAAATATTCATCTACAATGGTGATACATCTGTCGTTGAATCTAGAATGTCTAAATTCCATTATATGTCTAGCTAAGACTTAACACAATTTACTTGAATAAATATAATTACACAAGAGCATAATTAATTGAATTAGGTCTCTTATATCTTAATTAACATAAAGAAACAAAAATTGCCAAATTTAAATATACCATGCTTTGCATCCCTAAGTTATCAATAGGTCAGCATGTAGGGTGATCGAAGAGGAGACTGATAGAAACAATTGAAAAGCTACCATGATGATAGCCAGAAACTGTAGAGGTGTGATTTCCATTCGCAAAACTAACGTCGTTTAGGACACTGGGCTAGTCTACGGAGGAATTAACATTGGTTGACTGCACTTTGCTCATTGGCTAGCGTACGTTAAGTGCAATCACGG